CCCCCCCCCCAGTTGTCTCTTTTCCAAACCGAAAAGTACCAAATTCTTCACCCTTTCCTCATAGGGAAGGTGTTCCAATCCCTGAATCATCTTGGTTGCCCTCCTCTGCACTTTTTCCAGCTCTGCAGTGTCCTTTTGGAGATACGGTGACCAGAACTGTCCACAGGATTCCAAATGAGGCTGCACCATAGATCTATACAGAGGCATTGCAATATTGGTTGGTTTATTCTCAATCCCTTTCCTAATAATCCCTAACATAGGGTTTGCCTTTTTCACCACTGCAGTGCACTAGGCTGATGCTTTCATTGAGCGATCTACTACAACCCAAAGATCTTTTTCCGTCTCAGTCTCAGCAACTGTAGACCCCCATTAGCCTATAATTGAAGTTGGGATTCCCCCCCCCCCCAGTGTGTGTCACCTTACACTCACCAACACTAAATTTAATTTCCCACATTGTTGCTCACTCACCTAGTTTGTGGAGGTCCTCTTGGAGCTCTTCACAGTCAGCTTTGGTTTTGTGTCATCTGCAAACTTGGCCACTACACTACTCACCCCTAGCTCCAGATCATTTAAGAATAAATTAAATAGTACTGGCCCCAATAGTGGTAACCCACTGCTTTCTTCCCTCCATTGTGAGAACTGTCCATTTATTTCTACTCTTTGCTTGCTGTCATTTAACCAGTTTTTAATCCATAAGGGAACCCATCCCCTTATCCCATGGCTGCTAAGTTTCCCCAGAAGCTGGAAATAGTGTCTCTTCCCTTGCTTCAGCTGGTTTGGCTTGGATTATCGGGCATTGGATATGCTGGGTTTCCCACATTGGCCTGTGGTTCTGCTGGGAGTTTCTGGTTTGATATAGGTTCTGTTGAGCTTGTTAGTTCTGTTTGCACTGAGATACTTTTGGCCAGGGGTTGCTGCTTGCTCTTATATGTTTGGTTTTTGTCTTCCTGACCTTGGACAAAGCATAGAATCTCCTAATTAGGAAACAATGGAGGATGGCAGAATTGGACTTCTTAATCAAATCTACTTGAAACTTAGGGGTTCTTTAATGGGAAGGCTGCACCAATTCCACTGTAATTTTGGCATTATTTGCTTGAAAAACAGCTCCTTCCTCCAACCCCCCCCCCAACCTTCACTGTAGGTGTGTGTGTGTGTGTGTGTGTGTGTGTGTGTGTGTGAGAGAGAGAGAGAGAGAGAGAGAGAGAGAGAGAGAGAGAGAGAATGCCAGCCAAATACTGTTGTGCTGTTGTTTAATCTTTAAACTGTTTGCTTTTAGCGGTTTCCTTGATGCTTTTTGATGTATTTTCAATCCTTCCAATTGCTCTGCTTTAAATTTGTTTCTGAAGAATTTATTGCTTCCATATTTTCTGTGTCAACCTTGTAACATATATATATATATATGAAAGACAGCATAACAGGGTGGATATATTATTGTAGTTTGGCAACAGGTTCAAATCACCGTTCACCTATACAAACCACTGGGACATCAGCCCATAGACAAGTCATTTCATTGTATCACTTTGTACTCTGCACAGTAAAGCTATGGGGTCTGTGAGAAAAATAAATTAATAATGCAACACTTACCTCTGTGCATTGGAGGGAAAAGAATGGCAGCCAAGAATGATAACACAAACCAAAGGCCCATCATTGCTGCTTTGTGTTCCCCACAGTGACGTATCTCCAATATATATGGAAAATACAGAGGAAGTGGTCTTTGAATTCTGGTGGGAGAAATATGAGCTGTGGGGTAGTGTGCATTGCCCCATCCCCCACCAAGCTTGGGATTTCTGCATAGCACTGTTGCAAACTTTGGCATTCTGCAGAACTTTTGCAATTTCTGCAGATTACCAAAGCTTGCAAAAGTTCCACAGAATGCCAAAGCTTGCAAGAATGATCTGCAGAAATCTTGCGTGCTTGGGAGATCTGCAGAATTCTTCCTCAGGCTGAGCATTGGAGTTTAGAAGAGAAAAACCAAACACTTGAAACCATGGTAAATAAAACCAAGAGGGAAAGGATAACCATTGGCCTTTGACAAGTTTGCACAGAACAACATGAAAACTTGGAGCCAGTACTTGCATATTCAAAGAGACTTCAGGTTTTCATACCCTGAAAACCCTCCAAAAGATCACACAACACTGCCCAAGTGAAATATGGATCCAGAGAGCAGACAATGCATTCTGAACTATGCATACCCCTGCACCCATAGGATGCCAACCTGAAGGCCACCAACCTACATTGTAAGTGACAGGTAAGGTAAAGGTAAAGGTTCCCTTGCTCGAAAGCCAGTCAAATCCGACTCTAGGGTTGTGGTGCTCATCTCCGTTTCAAAGCCGAAGAGCCAGCGCTGTCTGAAGACATTTCTGTGGTCATGTGGCCGGCATGACTAAACACCAAGGCGCATGGAACACTGTTACCTTCCTACCGAAGTGGTACTATTTATCTACTTGCAATTTCTTCCCGGGTCTTGAACTGCTGAACTACCGACCTTCCACAGGGTGCAGTTCAGCGTCTTAACCACTTGAGCCACCGCAGCTCCATAAGTGACAGGTACTAGATTGCAATATTTATCAGGGGTAATTGGAGCTAATAATGCATTGACACTGCCCAGGCTCTTTCTCCTCCTAACAACCAACATCAACAGCTGGCCTCAGTTGCAAACCCTACCCAAGGGGTGTGATGGAGGAAGGTGACATGGAGCAAGAGATCAAGGGTTCAATAGTGGCGCATCAGGTACCCGGTAATACAACCCAAAAGACAGGAAAGCCCTTCACTGGAATGCCACTTGAATGCCAAGGTTTTCATAGGTGATGATAGAATTGTAAAGGTTTCCCTTGCTCGAAAGCTAGTTGAATCCGACTCAAGGGGGCAGTGCTCATCTCCGTTTCCAAGCTGAAGAGCCAGCACTGTCCAAAGATGTTTCCATGGTCATGTGGCTGGCATGACTAAATGCACAGTTACTTCTCACCAAAGTGGTAGCTATTTATCTACTTGCAATTTCTTGCTTTCGAACTGGTAGGTTGGCAGGAGCCGGGGCCAGAGCCGGGGCTCACTCCATCACGCGGCACTAGGGTCTCAAAATGCTGAACTACAGACCTTCTGGTCTGCAGCTCAGTGTCTTAACCTCTGAGCCAAAAAAGAATACTGGATATTTCTTGCAGAGACTCTATTTATTTATTTCAATTTATATTCTGCCCTCCCCACAAGCAGGTTCAGGGCAGATCACAAAGCAAGATTTAGGACATAAAAATTTCAGTACATGTCAAATATAATGTATCTCTGTCCCTTTCCCTTGGGCATTTATGAAAATGGAATGTTATATTGGGGTCTGACACAAATATGAATAAGATGATCAACAAATAAGAAGACCAACAAATAAACTTTAAAAAAAGACAATACATCAACAAGTATCAAGACAGTTAAGCATAAAATCCAATGATCAATCTAGATTCCTCCCCATGGTTTTCTTAATCCATTCGAGATAGTCCTTTGTGAGACGAGTATAGACACCCGGGAACTGGGGATCACCACATTTCCCTTTTTGACCAAAAGAAGTGATGCCTCTTTGTATTCCTCCACATATTAAAGGGCCACCAGAGTCAGCCTGGGAAGAAAAAGAGACATGCTTGACGTTATCACCCAGCAAACTCAACTGTGCCCTCCCTTGTCTGGTCAGGCTGTAATAAACTATAAGGAGCATTAGGAAAAATAAAACTCTTGCATTTAATGATTTCCTGAAATCTTTTAACTGAAGCAGTACATGAAATATAAGATGGACTGATGTTCTAAGTGCTAGCTTTTCCCCTGGAAGGGACATCTGGCTGTTGGCCCAATAATCATTTTAATTTCCCCCCCGGTGGTGGGAACTGGGAACCTGGGGTGGGGCGTCCCTTGCCCCCATTGGGGGGCTGGCAACCCTGATTCTAGGGGTAGTTTCTCTTCAGTTTGCCAAGGAGACTGAGCAGCAGCAACATGGATCTGGTAAATGACAACAGGCACAAACCAGATATGTTACTTACCTACCAAGTTGCCACTCTGTGTCAGTATGGCACCTCCAGCAGCTGACTGGGCTGCTTGGATGGCCAATCATCTCTCCTGCCATCACATGCATATGCAGCAATACTTGGTTGCATACGCTAGCTGTGTGCAGGTCTTGTTGCAGCGCTACAATGTAAGTGGAACCCCCTAACTACAAACCTTCCCACTGATCAAGAATTTATGGATAAAGTAACTGTGGGTATTGCCGCAGTACTAAGTAATACCATCCATCTCAATCTCATTTTCCCCCTTTGATTAGGAAATAAATGCTCTTACCTTGCATATCAACCCCTTTGATTAGCAAATATCAATCAATCAATCTTTGATTAGCAAATAAATACTCGTACCTTGCATGTATCTTTCCTTGTTTTTTTGGCACCACCAGCACACACCATGTTTGGGGTCACAAGAGCTATGGAATTATAGTGGTTCTTGCAGATGTGTCTGTCTATGACTGTGACGTTAGCTTCACGCAGTGTATCAGAAGCTTTCCCTCCATTTTCAGTAAGTCCCCATCCGGTGACTAGACATTGAGTTCCTGCCTTGATATCATCATAAGTTGTGGGCATTTTGGTTTTTTTTACGGCTCGAGTAATCTTTGCTTTTCTGTTCAGCTGAAGAAATAATAAAGAGCAACAATGATCTCAGATATTTGTCGTTTCAACCCTAACTGTTCCCTGCATTATTCTATGTAGCCTGTTCCATGCAGATCTTATCACTGGGAGGGGCCATGGCACACTGGCAGAGCATCTGTTTGGTATGCAGAAGGTCCCAGGTTCAATCCCCGTATCTCCAGTTAAAAGATCTGGCAGTAGGGGATGTGAAAGACCTCAGCCTGAGACTGTGGAGAGCTGCTGCCAGTCTGAGTAGACAATATTGACGTTGATGGACCAAGGGTCTGATTCAGTATAAGGCAGTTTCATGTGTTCAGTTTACTCAGTTTTTACTGGCAAAGCATTATTGAGATTTGCCAGAGGTACTGTTCCATTAAATCTTGCTATTCTGTGTACTCCCAGTAGGTGTCATATTTCTAAATAAAATGGAGGGCTTTTATAAAGGGAGCATGATGGGAAGATGATGGGACTTGCATGGTCCCAGGCTAGCCCGGTCTCATCATACCTCAGAAGTTAAGCAGAGTCGGCCCGCCTTGATATCTGGATAGGAGACCACCAAGGAATACCAGGGTTGCTAAGCAGAGGCAGGCAATAGCAAATTGCTGTCAAACATCTCTTGTTTTGAAAACCCTATGGGACTGCCATAAGAATGCTGCAACTTGATGGCAAAAAAATATATCGTAATTTATTTCACTGTTACTGTATGTATTACCTTTCCCTTATTGCCTTACTTTCTACTTCTGTGATTCCATTCCTTTTTGCATGATACTTTTTTTGGTATTGCTTCTCAATTTTGTGATCTTAGGCCTACTGCATGGTTTGTTGGATGTCACATGCTATTCAACTGCATTTTTAGAAACTGTATAATCCATCCCAAATCTCAGACCTTTTCTGCACACTGGAGTTACTCCTGATTTTCTTGGGAGTCAATCCACAAGCATTGGAATCTGTTTGGGCAGGGTTGTTCTGCACATCTGCCCTCCCTATGCATTTTTACAGTTATTGAGTCAGTTTATTTACTTCCACATATGGCTTAAATAATGTGGATTTTCAAGTGAGGGTGCTGTTGTCATTGGTGTCATTATTGGTGGCATCACAGCACCCTTTACTTTTAAAAAAGGTACTAAAATATTGATACAATGCTGAAGTGTTGTTACGATAATTTAAGCAGATTCTCTGAATTCTCAGTTTTTTCTTCTTCTCAAAAGTAAGTCTCTAGTTTCTTCCTCATGGAGATATAAGGAAAAGGCATATCTCCATGAGGGAAGAAGACAGAGACTTACTCTGGGAATTCAGGGACCCTACTTAAACTATCATCACAGCACGACAGTGTTATGTCAATACCTTAGGGCTTTAAAAAAAATGAAACCACTGTTGGGGGGAGAGGGAATGGCTTAATTATTACGACAGTCCAATCATCAACAAGTGGGCTGGAAGTGGGTAGGAGTGGGTTAGACAAAGAAAACTGATAGAAACATTATGCACTAGGAAAAAGCTGAGTCAGAATCAGATTCCAGAAAAAGATTAAGTTAAAAGCAGTCTCAAAACAGCTGGAAAAAACCAGGGGAGGGGGAGTGAAAAAAGGCACAAGAATGTGTGCAGTAATCAGGGGACACACAGAAGCAAAATGGGGCCAGAAGTTACCCAAAAATCTGCAGAGAAGCCCTCAGCAAGAAAGGTGGGCTATAAATAAATTTTAAAAATTAGTTATCACTTCTTTTCCGAGGTGGATGGCTTGAACAATGGTTTTTCTTTTTGTAGCCAAAGCAATTACTCACTGATCATCTTTAATTTTTATTATTATAATGGAGTCCTTACAAAATAATAACGGAAAATAAAAGAAAAAAATGACAATCGGTTTTGCTGCAAAGAGAAAAAAAATTACCCCCCCCCGAACGAGAATTAATTAAGGGTCAAATCAGGAATGCTGCGACCACCACAAATGAATGTGAAGCACCTACAGATCAGTGGATTCCTCTGATTCCACACTGATTATGATAGGTTCTGTCTTTAGTCCAGTGTTTTCACTCCCAGTTTTCTGTCATATTTCATGGCATTTTAAGGAACAGGACCCAAAGATCAAAAACAGAATGCTCCCAATTTCTCCATTGTCTATTGAGGTCAGGATCAGCAAGGAAAATAATGCTGTAAGACCATGTTTTTGTAGTCCCACAACCCTGAAGATTGGGGTTCCTGAGAAAAGTGCACTCACGTGTTGCTAAACCACTATAGCCAGGGGTCTTGTTGTAGAAAAAGAGCTGCCGGAGCTCATTAGCATAACTCATTAGCATAACTTATTTGCATATGCCACGCCCCCTGACATCACCGGAAGTGACAGAAGGCCACACCCCCTGACATCACCGGAAGTGTGTCAGAAGGCCCGGCTACTTACCCTCCTGCTTCATCCTCATTCCCAAACGGAATGAGGATCGAAGCAGAGGGCGGGGTAAAGAAGGGGGCGGGGCTTCACCACGTGACGGCCCCGCCCCCTAGAGGTTCTCTTCCGGAGCTCCGTACCTGAGAGCTCCCCCCCGACTAGAGCCCTGACTATAGCAACAAAATACCAGAAGCCCACTTATTTATAGTGGAGGGAAACCTGACTGAGCAAGCGCTCTGCTAGCTGTGGATGAGGGAGGGGAGGATTCCACCAGATTCTTCCTCCTTACTGAGCCTCTCTAAGACGGTTAATTACGATGGCATGGACCATAACCTTCAAATTTTGGCTGCGCCTTCATTTTAGATCTGGCCCAAACAGTCTTGTGGTGCACATGTTAACTAAATCCCATCTATCGACTTGGTTGATTAATATAGAGAAAAAAAATTCTATAATCGGCTTTAGTTTTGATGACTTGGTACTTTTGTCTGAGCAGAAGGCTTTTGCCTTACTCAAACAAAGACTCCTCGATATAGAGGTGCAAGATCTGAGAAGACTTGCGCACAGACAATGCTCTCCCGTGAGTATGGGACTTTCTTTTAGCCATATTTCCTCAGGATACCTGGCAAGACTGATTCAGCCCCATCTTCGTAGGGCTTTCATGCTAGCATGGTTCGACGTCCTTCCCTCAGCTGTTCTATCGGGAAGGTTCAACAAAATTCCCTATAAAGATAGATTGTGCCCCTGTGGGATGGGGGAAATCGAATCCTTTGGACATGTGCTATTGTACTGTAAATTCCACTGTGACATCTGTGTTGTTTATATTGAACCTGTGTTGGACCCCCTTTTGGGCCAATCTGATGAGCATAAAATTAGTTCTTTATTGTCTTCACATAATATAGAAATTCTGGAACCTGTAGCAAATTTCTTTTATGAGGTATCTAGGAGGAGAGCCTCATATTAAGGCAATTCGGAATGTGATACCCCTCCAGCCTATCTTGAGGCTCTATGCTGCATGTGTATTTGATATTTTATGCCAATAAAGGTATTGTATTTGTTTGTATTTGTATTTGTTTGTGTGGCATTTTGTTGAGGAAGCACAAGCCTTTCAGGAATAACAAGTGGTCGCTTGGCAAAGGGGAAAGTAGGGAAATCTGCTCCTGTTATCTTCTTATGATTGTAGCTTGTAGTATTTAGCCCCACTATAATAAAGTTCACTATCACAACATTTTTAGTTGAAAAGCATCCTACTACTTACATCAAAAGAAAAATGTTCGTAATGATAAATACAACATTCTCATCGCAACTTTGCAGGACATTCAATTTTAAAATGTACCTGCAAAAGCATAATGTCGTTTTCCAGTGTTTCGCTGTTATAGTTCGGGTGGGCAAACACTTTGGTAACTTGAAAGATCTGTTTTTCCCTCTCGTTTTTGGATAGTGAGTGAGCACCAAGAACAACAGTAGTCCCCTTCTCTCTGGAAAGATAAGAAAAGCATTTAAAAAGTGAGTATGTATATATTAATTTAGTATATTTTTATCCAGATTCTGATGGGGAACCCAGGTGGCTTACAAAAAGTACACACAAAAATGTACTAACCAAAGTTCATTTCTAGTCTGTACTGATACTCATGCATAACCATTTCTCCACACTGATACTTTGCTTTAAATATCTTGAATTTTTCCTTTGCATGTTCTTTCATCTGTGTTTTCTTTCCTTCAGTACTCTCTACAGATACTTATTCACATTTAGAACTGCACATATATGATAGAACTAGGGTTGCCACTCCAGCCCCCCAACCCTAGCTTCTCTTTCCTGCCACCACTCAGAAAGGCTCTGTGTGTGTGTGTGTGTGTGGCCCTATGGTGTTTGACCAGAAGTGAGGTCATACTGTTGGCCCAACAGCCATTTTACCATACAATTTCATACATGTTTTACCATAGATCGATGTTTTACCATAGAGTTTCTGGTGATTTCTGGAGAGGGGTGACTTCACTTCCAGGTTTTCCTCAGTTTGTCAGCTGTTGCCAAACTACTGCCCCTCATCTCCCCCATTTCTTAGGTTGTGCAGAGACAGCAGGCCCGTAGCTAACAACTTTTTGCTCAGGGGGCCCATGTTTTTCTCAGGGGGCCCACGTGCGGTAGGTGGGGCTGAGAGGGCTCTTTCCAGAACTGCCCTTTCAAGAACAGCTCTGAAAGAACTTGTAACTGACCCAAGGTCACCCAGCAGGTGCAAGTGAAGGAGAGGGGACTCAAACCCAGTTCTCCCAGATTAGAGTCGATGGCCAGACAGACCAACACGGGTAGACAGACAGATGGACAGCCAGAGACAGATGCCAGAGAGACAGACCAACACAGGCAGGTAGAGAGAAAGACACCGATTTTTATTTATTTATTTAATTCCCTGCCCTCCTCCCTGAAGCAAGCTCAGATAGGCAGAAAGACATAGACAGACAAGATGGACAGACACAGATAAATAGACAGAGACAGCCAGACAGAACAACGCAGGTAGACAGACAATGGACAGGCAGAGAGACAGAAAGACGCAGGTAGACAGATGATAGCACAAAACAGATAGACGGACGAACGAACAGGAGATGATCAAAGAGCTCGGTCCAAAACACATGCATGAAGCACAACCAGCAGCCCGAGAGAGCCGGCTTGGGGGGGGAGGGGGCGCCCGTCGCAGTCCCCCCCAAATATCCACGGGGCGAACCTGGCCTCAGACCAGGCGAGGCCGACTCAGGTGGACTCTGGCGGCGGCAGCGCCCCCCGGTGGGGGAACTTTTAAGGGCATCATCGTCATTGCGCGCCTCCTTTGGTGCTCGGCCCCAGGAGAGGCGTCCGGCAGACCCAGAAACGCGCCGGACCATGCCAGCGCCGCCGCCCCGTCTCGCTTTATTTTGTTTTGACTGCGCGGGCTTCCAAGGAAGGTGCCCTGCGCCGGACTAGCTTGCAGCGCTTCGAAATGATCTGCTGAGCCGTGCTGCTGAAGCCGAGCAGATCAGCTTCTTCCGAGTCTCCCTCCACTGGGCCCGAAAACTCCGTGCGAACTCTGGGCCTTCGCGGTGGCCGCCACTGGTGCGTCCCCGTCTCCATCCTGCTCTTCGCACGTTTCTCGGACTGCAGAACCCTCCCTGGCCATTTCCCACAATCCTCCAAAAGCCAATAGACACAGTGCCCCTGGTGCACGAGCCCCGGGAGAGGGAGGGCAGGGCGTGTTTGCGGGCCGAATGGGCCGCGCCCTGGCCTGGCAGGCCTGGAGGAACTGCCGCCCCCTGCCTGGCCGCCGAGGAGGAGGCCAAGCCATTCGGCTTCTTCGCCTTCTCCTCCTCCTGAAGAGTAGACCCGCCGCCGCTTTCCGCCGCCTGGCCAGCTTCCTCGCCTTGGCAGTGCCCTGGCTTAAGAAAGCGGTGGGTGGGGTGGAGGGGCGGCTGGTGTAGCACCTGCGGGATGCCCGAGAAGGAGGAGGCGGCAACCACAACCGGCGGCAGCAGTGATGGGCAGGGGGGGAAGCAGAGGATTGGGGGGAGGGGGCCCTCAAAACCAGCGGGAGGGCGGGCCCCATGGGCCCCACGCAGGATACGGGCCTGGCAGAGAGAAAGCTGTAGCCAGATCTAGCCAGCTGAATGAAGCTGCCTCCACCACGATGCCACAGTGTTGGGGCTCAGGGCGGGGGGGGGCAGATGACCACAGGTGAGTGGGAGACCATAGTGGGGCATGGGCTAAG